GTTGTTACAACAATATTCTCTATGTTTAAAAAAGAAATGCATGTGAATTTAAGTCATATTGATGTTGTATGGCATACATTTGTTAGGGTATGCTCATCAGTACGGTTCTCACAACCGTAGTGCTTTGGATAAATAAGATTCGGTTATAATACTCTGATATATGGTTGCCTCAACCAAAAGATTATTGTTGTCTTTTTAATATGGTTTGCAAAACAAATAGTATAGTTGAGAGATCTATAGAATACAGATCTCTCAACCATACTGTTATAAGTGCACAGTACGGCGTACGGCATTGAAAGTTCCATCGCAGTCATCGCAGATCGCAGTGGTACTACGCAGCTAGTGATTATTTGTGAAGTGTGTATTGCTAAAAAACAAAGTATATATCGCCCGTGGATACGTGGATATTGTGGATACGTGGATTATTATGGATATAGCTTGCGAGCTTTATCTTCGAAGCATTGGTTTTGAGGATTTTATTCCTGTTTTCAAAGGTATAAATTTTTATATTATATATCGTATTCCAGTCAGTAAAATGTCTATAGTAATTAGCAGATTAGTAGTAAAGCAGAAATTTGCAGCAGATTAACACAATGTCTGCATTAAATTCGTATTCTGTCGGCAATCTATCAATGTAACTTATAACCTAACCTAACGAGAAATTGGCGATAGATTCTGCTCATTTTGCGTAATTTCTGCCGCACATCTACATCAAATTGCCAAACCGCTGTAGAGCTTGTCATTCGATCTGCTATCAATTTGCTGCCAAGTGCTGCAGGTAAATAAATTGCATGATACTAAATCTAAAAAACAAGGTTATAATCTAAAGTTGCCATAATTTTTTTATTCGAATTGTACATGTCTCCCAAATTTCTAAATACAGAAAGTCATTTTACTAAAATAATCATTATTTCTTGTATAGAAGTAATATATGTTTATATTATTATTCAAGCAATGTTATTTCCAACAAAAATATTGTGATTAATTTAAATTGTAAATTTTTTTTTTTTATAATGCCTGTACTTGTTCAAAGTCAAGAAAGATATAATTTTTGTGAACGTATAACTTTGCATACATTTTCAAATTTTTTTATTAAACATTATTTTTGTTAATTTGATTAAAGAATTAAAGACAAGAATTAAAATATTCTAAATATAGAATTATTTAATTGTTTTCTTATTGTTTTTGTCTTCAGAAAATGGTATTACAAAAAATGATATTCCACAACTATTGGAAAATGACGGAAAGTATTTAAAAGAATTAATACCCAAGGCAGTTGACCGAATGAATTTTGAGAAGAAATTCTATGCTTCTTACGAACAGGTGATTTTCTTATTTTGACATTTTTGCTAAAATTCTATAATTTTTTATAGAAATATTTTATAATGTAATTACGTCTTATATTTATATGTTATACGTTATATGTTTACGTCTTAAATTTGTTTTATAAATGATGTTTAATAATGTTTTTTTATATTTTATAATGTTTATATAGAATGAGAGTTTAACTTCAAGCAGTTTTGAATTGGATTTAAAAAAAAGAAGATTGGATTTTACTCCCTCTCATTCCGGTGGTGAATCATCAGTTATTCTGGACTGTAGTGATATTAGCACAGAACAATCTTATCAAATTCTAAATGAGGATATTGATGTAGGAACTGTAATATCTTTAGATGAAGAACTTGCTTGTGTAATTGAAAAAGAAGATACCACTTCTCCAGCTGTACCAGATTCATTATCAGAAAAATCAGATATAAAAGATAATGTAAGATTAAAGTTACATAATTTTCAACTTGCTTACAAGGACTTTCTAAGTTTAGAAATGAGGACATGTTAACATTTTTGTTTTTTCCTTTTTTTGAAACTTAACATAAAAATAATTATTTGTTTATTTTTATGTAGATAGATAGTGAGAAAAAG